TATGATGTTGTTTATCGTCTGTTTAAATTTTTTTGTTTTGTATTTTGATTCTTATCAGCTTACAGACCCGAACAATTAAACGCATTTATTTAAAAATGTTGGCAAATATTTCGTTCTTTATTAAGAACTTCATCAGTGCTATATAATAACAAACATTAATTTCAAGATAAAATACTAACATCCAAATATATATACCTTATTTTTTTAGAAAATGCAATAATTTTCCTGTTCCACAATAGTCATTAATAATTAAAATTGTATTAACAAATAAAAATAAAAAATTAAAACAATTAAAATTCACACATTAAAAATTAATAAACAATTTTTGGACATAAATAACGAGCATAACAAAACTAAAAAATTTTTTTAATATTAATATTCCGCCAAAAATATTGATAATAATAAACGTTCTCTTTTTTATATCTCTTATTACTCAATAAGAAGAAACTTAACAGCTGACTTTTATTTTCATTTATCTCTTATTTTTGATTAGCTTGTATTTATCCAATAAATTAGAGTAAAGTGTGCTAAAATTATCCGTGTCTCTCTTGTAGTTTACCACCTGTTCATTATTTAATATGATGTGAATAACTTCACTCATTAATCTTTTATGATAATTATTTTCAATTTCCAGAATTATTACTTTATCAAAGTTAAAGCTATGTCCTGTCATGTAGGCCTGGGTAGGGGTAAACGAAGAATTAATAAAACAACGTGAATATTAATGACATTAACATACCTTGAAATTTATGTGGCCTCCATGGGTACTTCAGTTATTTTTTCTATTATATCGCCAACATTGTCAAGGTGTTTTTAATGTGACCACCAACAGTATTCCTCTTGCGCATAACTATTAAGTATGCTGTTCACCTTTTTATTATATGGTCCACAAGTAATTTTTTATTAGAATTTAAATGTGTTATATTTGCACTCACTATTGAAAGAATTTCAATTTATTAAATCTACAACGTGCATTGCGCGCACGCTGTCCGTAAAAATAGAAGTAAACAAAAAAATGGTAAACAGAGAAGGCGAAAAGTAAAGCTTTTACGTTCAAGTCTCGTTTGTTTAGTGCAATATAGTAAGGCGAACTTCACAAAAGCTTCAGTAAAGTTTGACTTAATGAGAGGGGACAGTATTGCCAAGTGCGAATAACCACCTGAAATATCTAAGACAAATTGTAGCTTGATTGAAAAGGGGAAAGAAAAAAAAAAGCTTTATGAGAGGTTATTACCCTCAAGTCAAACAAGGCCAGCTAACGCAAATTAACGAAAGCAAGCTGTGCTAACAGGATCACTAACATGATAGGAATTTATCAGTTAGGCGAATTGAATATAAAAGCCATAGCAGACACGGTGATGGTCTCTTTTTTTTTTGCTTTTCCTTTGCTGTTGGTCGATGAACGACCGAAATTTGAAAATGTGCTAATAAAAGCCAAGATTATTTCTAAACTTAAGATTAAAAGTAAAACAGTGAATAAAAGTGCTAATAAAGGCCAAGTTGTTTTAGAGCCCTAAAGAGATAATTAAAAATTCCCTTAAACTTGAAAATGTGCTAATAAAAGCCAAGATTATTTCTAAACTTAAGATTAAAAGTAAAACAGGGAATAAAAGTGCTAATAAAGGCCAAGTTGTTTTAGAGCCCTAAAGAGATAATTAAAAATTCCCTTAAACTTGAAAATGTGCTAATAAAAGCCAAGCTTATGTCAAAACTTAAGATTAAAAGTAAAACAGTGAATAAAAGTGCTAATAAAGGCCAAGTTGTTTTAAAGCCCTAAAGATAATAATTAAAAATTCCATTAAATTTGAAAATGTGCTAATAAAAGCCAAGCTGTTTTAAAAACCCAAAAGATAAGAAGTGAAATTTCATTAAGTTTGCATCGTTTATAAACATATTCTTAAAAAGTGGATCAAACGCACGAGTTCGGTGCCAGTAAATGAATAGTTTTTTTTGAAATATGTTTAAATAAAGACATGACCGTAAGAATATTAAATTGGAAGCCGAATACACTCTTATTGGAAGGATTCAACAGGATCCATACACACCGTTAAGGCACAGCGGTGTACAGGTATTCCTGTACTAAATGATTTACCTTGTACAGAAACGTACATGCCTGTATTCATATATTTTTTTTTATTATTATTTATTTTTTTTAATTATATTATCTTAATATATTAACTTAACTACATATTAATTAATTACATTAACTTTTATAAAATTGTGAAGAATGTATACTTTTGAATTTAGTTGAAAAAAAGAAAAAAAAAAAAAACAAAAGTTGAATTGTATTAAATGTTAAAGATTATCTTAAGAATTATATATGATATAGAAAAAAAGAAAAAAAACAATAAGAGAAATAGTAATAATATACATATAATAATTGTATATATTATATATACATATAATATATAAGACATATAATTGATTGTCCCAAACACCTTTAAATACATACATCTATATTTTTTTTATTATTCATAAGTTTCAACTAGGTCAACAGCAGCGTGGGTGACGTCATTCTAGCAGCTGGAAGGTAAGACACACGATCTTGTGTAAAGAGAAATTGTTACTTTGTTAAAAAAATTCAGTTAAAAGATTTGGTTGTGTATATTTTCTTTTGTTCTCTTATATATTTTTTTTGTTTTTTTATTATGATTTAATTAGTTAGGTTTAAGATTACTAAGATTATTATTGTCATGACTTTTGTTGAATCTAATAAATAAAAAGAAAAAAAAAAAAAAAAGGAAAAAGAGAAGAAATTTTTTTTTTGATGGAAAACTCAAATAGTATGCAGGATTAAGGTTTAGTTATTTGGCGGTGGTGGAAGTGCTAGGGAAAAATAGAATGTATATAAGTTGCAGAGGGACCGAGTGAATGTAGTGTGAAAGATGATACAGACAAAACAGACGAGGACATTTCAAGCTGCTACAATATAGCGAAATCAATTAGGCAATGGCTATATTGTGATTGTGTTAGATGTAGGTTCCGCACAAAAATGGTTTTCTTCCACAGCAAACCGGTGACATGAATTTTTGTTGATATCCGCGATTGTTGCTGAACGTGAGAAGAATCACCCCCAAAACCGGCGAGCATACCGGGCTGGCCACCATGTCACCGCTCCACGTTCACTGCAGTGTTACTTCGCCCACCGAAGACCGGACACAACAAATGGCGCCCAACGAGACACTAATACGAAGACAGGACCGAATTAAAAGACGTAATAAATAACAAAATAATAATATTATAGATATATCTATACAATCCATAATAATTTAATAGACATATACATATATATATAAAAGAGAGGAGGTTTTGAAAAGTTTTAAAATTGTTTTTAAAAAGATATTGTTTTTATATATATATATATTTGACAGAATAGACCGATGAACAGCGGACCAAAGATGGTTGCCTCAACAAGTGGCAATGTAGACAGTAGAGACAAAGAAAACTTGACAACCAAAAATTTCGTTAAATTTCACCTTAATCATAGTTTTTTTAAATTCTTAAAATAGATTCTATTTTCACAAACAAAGAAACGTGCACAAACCTTTAAGATTTTTTTTATTTTTTTGTTTGACTTTTGGCAGAGCGCAAATAATTTTTTTTGTACGAATTTTTTTTTATCAACAAAAGTATTTTATTATTTTTAAGATTTATGCGAACAATTAGTAGTAGTGATACGCAAAAACAAATAATATCATTTTTATTGGAATCTTTATGCAAGATGAGAAAGATGTTTGTATTAAGGTGAATGACTTAGGACTTGTAATTTCCGATGGAGAGGGAAGCCATGACCTACCTCAAGAGGTGTAAACAACACATAGCTTGGCAGACAGACAAGATGACAGAGTTAGAGAGTCGTTAGTAATTTGTTTGTGTTTTTTTTTGTTTTTTTGCTTGCAGCCACGATAAAATTTAGTATAAGTTTATGTGAGGTAGCAGACATAAAGATTTTTTTTTGTTTTTGTTTTGGAATTTAGTAACCTACGGCTATGACTTAAAACTCCTGAGGAGTTTAGTTTAAGGTAGTAGGCGAGTTTTTTTATACACTAATAATTACGGCAAAAACTGAAAGTAAAACAGTTGTGTTTGCGGTAGTAAGCGTAATTGACGTAGATTTCTGCTACGACTTTAAAATTCCGGTGGGATTAAGTTTGAGGCAGGAGCTTTTCATCAAAATTGTTGTTTTTGTTATTTTTTTATTTAACCTATAGCTATAATAGAGTATGAGAAGAGTTTTTGATTTGAGGTAATAGGTATGAAGTATTGTGGTGTTATTCAGTAACTAGAGTTTTTTCTGCTACAAACTAAAGCTGAATAAGTATAGTGTGAGGCAGGGAAATTGAGTGAATGGTTGCTACAACAGAGATTCAAGTAGAGTTCTGTTTGAGGTATTGTGTGGGTAAATATTGGAAAGTGGGTATGAGTGAATGACGCATGGGTCTGAACAAGTATGAATGAAACAGTTAATGCTACCAAACAATAGAATTTTTCGGTAGGTTTGTGAGGCTTACTGTTAATTGGTATCACGCATACATTTTCTATGAGGAATCGGTATTAAATTGAGGCGTGATACTAATTGAATGTTTGAGATGTTGAGAGTAAGAGATGGACAGTTGGACGAACGTGACGACAACTTTGCACCTATATAACAATGAATTCTATTTTTCCCTAAAACAAGGCACTGAAAATCCACCAATAAACGCCAAATTTAAAATTATATTTATCTGCCTTATTTTTTTATTTTTATTGAATTTTTTTTATTATTAAATAAATTATAACAATTATTAAATTAATAATATTATAATTATATATAAAAAAAAAAAAAGAAAAAATTTTTTTTTATTTTTTTGTTGAATTTTTTTTAATTATTTAAGAAGGTTAAATACGCGATCACCTTAGGTGAACATACAGGATTTGTTTTTTTGTATCATTCTACAAGTAATAGACAAGTGAGCTATATCGATAACAAGAAATTTAAGTAAGAGTGGTAAATAGTTCCTATGGAGCCCAGACCAACAGAAGAGTTAATAGACATGTTAGCAAGTAGTACCGGAACTAGGTCCAAAATACGAAAAGCTACGAAATCAGCACAAGTAACTGAGTTAGAAGCGGTATCTGACAAAACTGCACAAGCGCGTAGTAGTGAGCAGGCTCAGTTAGTTAGTTCAGGTACAAATAGAAGGCCAAAAATAGGGAAAATAACCCAAGCTGAAAAAGATTTTGGAAACAATAGTATCCAAAGATCACTGAGTTTTGACAGCAAAATAGACCACTTGTTGTTATTGGAAAGTAGTGAAATGAATCAGCCAGCTAATCTGAAAGGAAAAGTGGAAGATCAATATCGAGAAACCTCAACAGGTATAGATACAGGACGCAAGTCTGATAATGAAGAAATAATGAATTCAGTAGCTGTAATGATGAGGCAGCAACAAGAGTTTTTATCGAACTGCATGCAAGAGATGAAAATGGAAGTCATGACTCTAAACAACCGTCTACGAGAAGTGGAGCAAAGACCTAATCGGACCCCGCAAAACTACTTAGGTAACCAGGAAATCCAGCGGGAGCAGCACTCAACATTTCCAATAGAAAGAGAGATGAGAAGAAGTGTGGATCTAGAACGGTGGCATTTGAAGTTCGACGGTTCGAATAAAGAAATGACAGTAGAAAGCTTTTTGTTCAGAGTCGAGAGAATGAAACAACAACACTCAGTTACAGATCAACAACTTCTTACGGACTT